ACACACACACACAGACACAGACACAGACACAGACACAGACAGGCACACACACAGGCACACACACAGACACACACACAGACACACACACAGACACAGACACAGACACAGACACAGACAGACACAGACAGACACACAGACACAGACAGACACAGACAGACACAGACAGACACAGACAGACACAGACAGACACAGACAGACACAGACAGACACAGACAGACACAGACAGACACAGACAGACACAGACAGACACAGACAGACACAGACAGACACAGACAGACAGACACAGACAGACACAGACAGACACAGACAGACACAGACAGACACAGACAGACACAGACAGACAGACACAGACAGACACAGACAGACACAGACAGACACAGACAGACACAGACAGACACAGACAGACACAGACAGACACAGACAGACACACAGACAGACACAGACAGACACAGACAGACACAGACAGACACAGACAGACACAGACAGACACAGACAGACACAGACAGACACACAGCCACACAGCCACACACAGACAGCCACACACAGCCACACACAGCACACACACAGCCACACACACACACACAGCCACACAGAGACACACACACAGAGACACACAGAGACACACAGAGACACACAGAGACACACAGAGACACACAGACACACAGAGACACACACACAGAGACACACAGAGACACACACACACACAGAGACACACAGAGACACAGAGACACACAGAGACACAGAGACACAGAGACACAGAGACACACAGAGAGACACAGAGACACACAGAGACACACAGAGACACACAGAGACACACAGAGACACACAGAGACACACAGAGACACACAGAGACACACAGAGACACACAGAGACACACAGAGACACACAGAGACACACAGAGACACACAGAGACACACAGAGACACACAGAGACACACAGAGACACACAGAGACACACAGAGACACACAGAGACACACAGAGACACACAGAGACACACAGAGACACACAGAGACACACAGAGACACACAGAGACACACACAGAGACACACAGAGACACAGACAGACACACACACAGACACACACAGACACACACAGACACACACAGACACACACAGACACACAGACACACACAGACACACACAGACACACACAGACACACACAGACACACACAGACACACACACAGACACACACAGACACACACAGACACACACACAGACACACACACAGACACACACACAGACACACACACAGACACAGACACACACACAGACACAGACACAGACACACACAGACACACACAGACACAGACACAGACACAGACACAGACACAGACACAGACACAGACACAGACACAGACACAGACACAGACACACACACACACACACGAAACGCCGTAAAACTTGCCCCCACACTGCCCAGAAGAGCATCTGCGACGCCTCGCCGTGTGCCACCGCTGGCCCTCTTGCGCGGGGTGCGCGCCGGCTGGGAAAACGTGTGCAGCAAGGTCTCCAGAGGATCAAAGGAGCCTTCGTGGGCAAGCCTGTGCACTCTCCAAAACACGTTTTGGGCCCGCCGGGAACGCAAAGTGAGGTCTCGGACGGCTCGGAAAACACAACCCGTGGAGGAAATGTATCGGGCGGGCAAAAAATGAGGAGGGGAGGCTGGGCAGGGCAGGAGGAATGGAGAGGAAGGGAGGATGGGGAAGGAGTGGGAAGGGAACCAGTGCGAAGGAGGAGCGAGGGAGGTGGTATGCATGACATCTTGTTACTACAACGAAAAAAAGCGGATACGCATAATTTCAGCGGTCTGCGCGGATCTGAATCTTTTGGATCTGGCGCGGAACGCGCCAGGGGTAGCGCTGGAGGCGCCGCTAAAAGGGCCCAGCGCCGATCCGAAAAATCCCCGCGGACCTCCGAACAATTATTGGTCATGCTTTTCATAATGGGTTGTCGGATGGAAAAACACTCAGTGCCCTCCGAAAACCCCCTTGAAAGGAGGCGCGATGCGCGGCTATCTTCGAGCCCTCGCGCTCCCGCGCGACCGCCTGGGAGAAGGGCGACCGCTCGGGCTCAGGCCGCGGCGCGCGAAGTGCGATTATCTTCGCGCCCCTGGGGGTGGCCTCGGCCATCTCCTGGATTCCAGCAGTGCGCAACAGAGCCGAACACAAAGACTGGGAGAAGGCAGCCTCGATGGCCATGATAGTTTTTGAAGGCGCCCGATGCCGCGCCGCCCTTGCCATTTTCTACGAGCCCTGCTCGAACGCTCCGCCGTCGGATCTTCGCGCTGCGGCAGGGCCTGGCCCGCCAGGCTCGGCATCGAACGCCGTGGCTGACATGGGGCCCGACGGCGGCGGCGAATATGAAGACAGGTCGGCCGTGGTCAAACCCTCGGGAACTGGGCTCGAACAGCTGCGGGGCGCGACGTCGTTTCCTGGGGACTCGTGGTTCACTGTTTTGTCTTGTGCTTGTCATCGTTTTCGCCGTCCTCTGGAATGCTGCCGAACTTTGCCTCGTTTTCTCCTGCTGTGTGTTCAGCTTGCTGTTTTGCGTTTTTTTTGTTTGTTTTCCATGCTGTGCTTGATGCCCATAGATGCTGTTCTTGCTACTGTGATACGGTGCTCGCTGCCCTTGAGGCTGTGCTTGCTATGTTTTGATGATTTAAATGGTACATGTCATGTGGTGGTATTTACCTTGCGATGGCGATGGCACTTGGCTCGATGAAGCTGTGCTTGCGACCGGCGTCGGCGATGCCGGTTGACTCGATGCTGCTGTGATCCGTGTCGGCGACGACGGAGCTTCGACCGCTGCCAAAGACGCGCCCTCCTCATCTTCAGTACCTGGCTCGCGCCATTCGCCGGGCGCGATCTTGATGATGCTAGCGGCCGTGTGGTCATTCTCTCCATTGGTGCGCAGCTTAGCGCCAGCGCCGAGCTTGTGGAAGAAACGCAAGGTCGCCAGACTCACGCAGCTTCAGACATCGCTCGAGTGAGACCGACTGGCAACAACGCTGGCACAGGCTCGCCGAGGACGCGATGCCAACGGGGAGCTCAACGCGGCCGATCAGCTTCGCGACGCCCCCAATGCCGCGCGGTGTTGGCCCTTCGTCTGGCGCTCGTCGTGGTTGCAAGCCAAACTCCTTGAGCTTGATGGCGAGGGTCGTTTGCTGTTCCTTGCCAATGATGCCGTCCTGCGCGCCCGCGTCCACAGTTACCTCCCATGCGTTGATGGCGAGACCGATGAACGTGGCGATCGTGTCGATGCAGAACCTCGCGGCACCGCCAGCAGCAGACGGCGTAGTAGAAGGGTCCTCGATGGTGAACTTGCCAGCGCCACCCGAACTCGCATGCGTAGTAAAAAGGCTCCGGGTGCCAAGCGTTGTGATGAAAGGTTATGCGGACGCTCCCGCGCCCAGTGGCGAACCTGCTTACACATCGCGCACTTCGTCCTGGGCTTCAGATGGTCGATCAAGATTCGGCGACGCTGTCCGAACCCTCGTTTGCCCTTGCCTTTGCCCTTGCTGTCATGCTAGTCGAAGCTGCCGTACTTGCCGCTGCCCTTCGGCCTGAAGAAGCCCCCGCGCTTTGCGAGCTTCGTTCAGCTAGTTCTGAAACTTCTCGTGCTCCACTGGGTAACTCATGGCGGGGCGCATGTCCAGCGGCACCCACGGCGGGTCTTCCTCCTCGATGACCCCGTCGAGCCACTCCAGACTCGGTTAGTAGACGCCCTCGATCGGCTCCGAACCCGAAGCGCACCCTCGCCGTCGTCGCAGCCGTCGTCCTCGTAGTCAATCGCAATTCCTCAGACATTGGGACGCGTTGTCCAGAACCTGCAATATCAGCTCGACGCTGTGTTGACCGGCCAGGGCGTCGTCCACTATCTCTTCGCACGCATATGATCTGGGACGTTCCAAGAACTGCGCCTCCGACATGATTCTTCTCGATGGTCGTGTTTGCCTACCACATCAGCAGGTCTCGCCTGCACTGGCGGTGCAAGCAGTGGTCCGTCGGCACCGTGAACAACGGCGGCGGATCCCGATCGATTCGTGTTGAAACCTGCGTTGGCTCCTCATCTTTTTGCTCCTCTAGTTCACCTCTCGCTCCTGCTGCTGGCGGTGGCATGGCTGCATAAACTGAAACATGTGCGGAAAGCACAGCTGCCGTGGGGAGAACCACGACTCCGCTGCCAACTGAGGAGACAATCATAACGGAATTGATCATCGTGGACTGTTTTCCTCTGCGCGCGCACATGACCCAGGTCGGCTTCGGATATACCAATGATCGCAATAAGATGGATGTGGTCAACTATGCTCTGCTGACTCTCTCCAGGGCTCGGGAAACAGAAATTCACACGAAGGGACCCCCAAGAGGTTCCCAAAATGTCCCCAAGATGCTCCCAGACTGCCCCCCATGGACCTACGAGCGCGCTCTGAAGAGGCCCCACGAAACATCACTGAGAATTCTGCCCAACGTGAACGTGGTCGCCGCCGACGCCGATGTCGTGGTCGTTTTCCTCTTTCACGATCGGCGGCACTGGCCACAAGGCCTTCCCAATCCCTTCTGAGGGGCAATGATAGGGGGGGGGGCTGGCTGAGGGGGTAAACATCGACCTGGAATCGGCCATACATCACCGATAGATCGGTGATAAGTCCCAAATCGTGTATCCGCACGTTCCTGGGCGTGATGGGGCTATCAGACCCCTTATCGGCGATCAGCAGGCGGTTAATTAGGGGTCGATGCGTTCCCCCGTGAGCCTATATACCCTAAAATTGACCTTACATTCTTGGGTCATAGCTCGACTCTCCGCTGACCGTTCGGGACGATCCGCGCATTCCCGGAACGCCCTCGGCGAGGCGGACCCACTGGACGGCACCTGAAGGCTGAAAACCGCCGAGAACCAGCGAAGACACGCGAAAACCTCGAACTTCGAGCCCCCTCTGAGCCCATCCCCCCCGACGACGACGAAGACGGCGACGACGTTGCCCCGGACCCCCGCGGGAGGCCTGTCCCTGCGCTTGGGGCTGCGGCTCCTCTCCCTCCGCCTCGGGCTGCGCCTCTGCGCCGCGCGCAGGGGTGCCGCCAGGAGGCGCGGGGGGCAGCATCAGCAGGAAGCGGCGCAGCGGACGCGGAGAGGCCGTGGGCCGAGCCCCGTCCGCACTCCTCCTCCATCCCTTTTCCTGATAAGAAACTCATCCCCGTCGCGCCCTGAGGCTGATCGGAAGGGCGGGCCGGGCGTTTCGCCTGAGACTTCCTGACCTCTCGTGGGCCTGAAGCTTAGAAACAGACAGCCGTTTCACACATGGAGGGCGGGTGACTTTCAAAATTAGGCTCTCGCCTTAGCGCCGCGCACATTCGTATTTAAACATTCGCAAGAGTTTCAAGGATTGCGGTCGGGCGGTTTTCGCATTGTGGATCTCGCCTTTTAGCACCGCGCGCATGTGTTTAAACAACCGAAAGAGTTTCACGGATTGATGGCAAGTCTTTTTCAAAATGTGTCTCTCGCCTTAACGCCGCGCACAATCTTTCTCAACATTTACAAAAGCTTCACGGAATAAGGGTGGGTCGGGTTCAATCTGTGGCTCTCGCCTTAACGCCGCGCACACTCATTTCAAACATTAGAACATTTGCAAAAAACCGCGGGTTGAGGGCGGTTCCTTCTCAAACTGTGGTTCTCGCCTTGGCGCCGCGCACATGGGTTTTACATATTTGCAAAAGTTTCGCGGACTCTCATGGCTAGCCTTCCAGAAATTTTGTTTTCGAACGATCCAGGATTGTCATTGCTCAACAGTCACGTTGATTCGAGTTGAAGTCCCAGGCACGGTGTCCTGGCACGATTCAGGATCGGCAAAACGCAACTCGTGGCGTTGAAATCCTACGAACGGTGTTTTGGCACGCTTCAGGATTTCCACACGGTTGTCTCCTGCCGGGGCACGTCCCACAGTGAAAGGGAATCCTTGTATGGTGCCTATGAAGAAGGAACTTGGAGGGAGGGTGTATCCTAACATCGTTGCTAAATCTTGGGTTTACGCTGGTCCTCCTCCTTCTCCTCCTCCTCCTCCCGTCCGCGGGCACACAGCGGAAGCCCGATGTGATCGGCAGCGAGCCCCAGGGGAGAATGAAAGGGGCCGGGCCTTCTCAGAAGGCTGGGAAGGCCTCTGGCCTTCCGAGAACTTTTTCTTAGCATTCTCCGAAGGCAGAGAAGGCTTCTGAGAGGGCTGGAGGGCTTCTGAGAATCCCTGCCGCCTTCTGAGAAAACTTGCCCCTTTCTCACTTTTTCCCTTCCCGGGCGCGCCGCCGATCTAAGACGAGACCAGGACAGGGACAACATCGGACCAGGACAAGTCGCGGACACCTCTGAGATCTGGCGGTTCTGGGGAATGCATGGGGCGCCGCGGCCAGCGCGCAGAACGCTCCCAGAGCGCTCTGGAACGACATATCCTGATCCTAGCCCCGCCCGACGCCCGCCAAGCCCGCTGGCTTGCCAAGCCGCAGAAGATCACCTGAGCCTCGAGTTCCGCGACAACTGTCGCCCCCCCCCCCTGGTGGTACTAGGGCGGCGACTGCGCGCCCAGGAAGCGGCCAATTCCGCATACGCGCCAAGGGACGCCTACAAGGCTGGTGCAAGCGCCCTCCAGAGCGCCGCGCCACGGTCGTGAACACGCACTCTTCTGCCATGGTCGTGGACACGCACGTGCCCAACAGCGCGAAGGCGGCGGGGAGCGACCAGCAGAGGCTCGCCCCCCCCTCGGTTTAGGTCATGGGCTGCGGCCCGCATGCCAGAGGCTTTTGATGCCATTGGTCATATACTTTGTGTATACATACAGACATGCACATACGAGAGAGCGTGATCCACCGCCGCTTTACTGTGGAAAATTGCCGCCCTTTTCCTCCGGAACCCGGGGGTCCCCACCCCCTCCGAAAATCCCCCCCCCCCCTGCTGGACCCCCCCCCACCCCCCTTCCCCCAGCAAAACCCCCCCCCCTCCCCTAACCCTCCCCCCCCCTCGAACTCGAAAACTGGGGGGGGTCACTACCGGTTCGAACCCCCCCCCCCCCCTCGAAAACCGGAGGGGGGGGTCACTACCGGTTCGAACCACTGAGCTGTCCCACTGTTCCCACCACTGTCCCCACTGTCCCCACCACTGTCCCCACTGTACCTCTGTCCCATTGTCCCACCGCCGTCCTCGCCACCGCCTTCACCACTGTCCCCACCACCACTGTACCCTCCACTGTCCTACTGTTTCCACCACATTCCCACTGTCCCCACACCACTGTCCCCACCACCACCGTCCCCACCACTGTCCCACTGTCCCCACTGTTCCCACCATTGTCCTCACCATTGTCCCCATCACTACCGTCCCCACCACTGTCCCACTGTCCCCACCACTGTCCCGCTGTCCCCCCCTCACCACTGTCCCCACCACCACCGTCCCCACCACTGTCCGCACCCCCCCTCGGTTTTCGAGGGGGGGGGGGGTTCGAACCGGTAGTGACCCCCCCCGTTTTCGAGTTCGAGATGGGGGGGGGGGGGTTCGAACCGGTAGTGACCCCCCCCCTTTTGACGATGAACTAGGGGGGGGGGAAGGGGTTCGAACTGGTAGTGACCCCCCCTGGTTTTCCGGAAGGGGGGGGGGGGGGAGAGGTTCGTACCGGTAGTGACCCCCCCAGTTTTCCGCCAGCAGCGGTAGAACACGCTCTTTCACATAAATGCTGTGTATTGACGTTCGTCTTGCCATGCCGCCTGGGGCCTTCTGAGCACCACCGGGGGCGCTCCGCGCCCTGTGGACGGGGTGCTGAGATTGTTCCATCTTCGGTCTTCTGGAGGCCTCCCGAGAGATCTCGCTGCCAACGCCAGGTCACCCTGCCAGACGCCACACCTGAGGCACGCTGAACGCTGAACGGTACGGGCGGGACAGGTCCGCTCTGCAGACGGCCCGCACGCCTCACGACACGCACTCCCGGAGGAGGCGCGGAGACCAGGCGCGCCCTGCAGGTCCGCAGGGAGGGGTGGCCAGCTCGGGGGGGGCGACCGCGACGCTCCGCGGGCAGAGCGCTGACGCCGCCAGGGCTGCGAACGAGTTTCGGCAGGTCAATGTCGTGCCGACCCCGGCTTTGGTTCGGCCGTTGGCGAAACCGCAGGGATCCTTCAACCCTAAGCGATCGGCCGTTGGCGAAAAGTCAAATCGTTCAACATCGACCGTGCTCGGACTTGCTTCCGTCGGGGCACCGCCTTCGGCTCCCAACAGTCTTGGCGCCTCGCGGTGCGAGAAGGGTAGAGCACGACTATCTTCGCATCACACGGCTTCGGGGAGAGGAGGGCGGAAGGGAGGAGGAAGACAAGGGAGGGAGGAATGGGCAGCGCCGACAAAATATAAAGCTTCGCGCCGATGAGATCCGAATTCTGTATATGTTGCGTTGGCGGCAAAATCCCCCCCGCACCTATTTCTCTGGAACCTGGATGCCCTCCCCGCTCGCCCCCCCAATTATGTCTGGAACCGGGCAGCCCCCCCACGGCGAGAAGCCCCTCCCTAACGCCCCCCCCTTCTCGCCGCGGGCAAACGACGTCGACGACGACGTCGACGCCAACGTCGCCGTCGCCATCGCCGCCGACGTCACCATCGCCGCCACCATTGCCGCCAACGTCGCCGCCACCGTCGTCGTCGTCGTCGGCGAATCGGTTGGTCGGGCGGGACACGTCCGTCGTGGGCGAACCAGTCAGCGTCGTCATCGTCGTCATCGTCGTCGTCGCCGTCGTCGTTTGCCGGTGCCGAAGCAGGCGGGAGGAACGTCGTCGTCGTCGCCGTCGTCGTCGTCATCGTCGTCGTTATCGTCGTCGTCGTCCTCGAGGTCGTCGTCGTGGTCCTCGTCATCGTCATGGTCGTCGTCGTCGTCGTCGGGGTCGTCGTCGGGGTCGTCGTCGTGGTCCTCGTCATCGTCGTCGCCGTTTGCTGTCGCTAATGGGCGGGTTCGAACCCCCCCGACTTTCACTTTCGAGGGGGTCGGGGGCGGAGGGGGGTCACTCCCCCCCAGGACTTTTGAGTGGGAGAGGAGTTGGTTCGCAACCCCCCTTTCCTGACTTCCTCCCAACGTTGCTCAGATCACGCTATTTCGAAGTTATCCTAAACATGTTCCAAGACGGGACAGGAACCCTCACGGCCTCCAGGGCCTACCCTGGTCGCGTCTCGCCTCCAGTCCTGCCTGCGCGCTCTTGCCATGGAGGATCCTTGGCCTTCTCGCTCCCCCCCCTTCCCTGGGCGGTGGCAGGGCCAGGGGTCTCCCCACGGGGACTGCTCGCCCTCCCTCCCCCACCTCCTCCCTCGAGGAAGGAGAGGGCCTCCCCCAAGGAACTTCTTCAATCCTCGCACTGTCGTGCATGGGTGGGCGATGTCACGCGCGCGGTGCATTCCAAATCTTGGTCGAAGGCTAACCTGGAAGGGTCTTTTTGAAATACAAGGGCCCCGCCAATAAAGGGGGCAACTGATTACTGTTTTTCCCCACATCCAAAGTGGGGTTCTTGTTTTCTCTGCACACCCCGCGCAGGAACACTCACCCCACCCCCTCTCCTCTTCTGCCTTCGCACACTCACTCACTCACTCATCATCATCACCACTCACTCACACTCACACTCACTCACACTCTCTCATCATCAACACCAGCATCATCACTCGCGCCCTCTCACACGCTCAGTCACCCACATACTCATCATCATCATCACCATCACCATCATCATCATCATCATCATCATCATCATCATCATCATCATCACTCGCACTCTGTCACACGCTCACTCATTCACATACTCACCTGGAGGAAGTCTCAGGCGGGAGTTCGTCTGTGAGTGAATTGTGAGGAAGAGACCTGAATATGGAGGAAGTCTCGAGCGGGAGCATCGTCTGTGAGTGAATTGCGAGGAAGTCTCAGGCGGGAACCCCCTCCCTGTGGGGCCCGCGGTTCATGTTCGAATCCGAGCGGGTCATCCGCAACGTGTAACTGTCGTCACTTTTGGGCTCTTGAGGCCTGAATATGGAGGAAGTATCAAGCGGGAGCCTCGTCTG